ACTTGAGGAATCTGTGGCTCGTTTCACTGCCGCCACTTTATCGCCAGGCTTTGTCAATTCGGTTACTTTTGAGACTGACCTCGTTTTCGAAACTTGTTTCTGTTGTCACCGGCCAGTCTCCAACTCGTCAAAGAGGCAAGTGGAGTCTATGCCTTGATCAAATTTCTTTCAAAATGGTTGTGTTACCACTCCTCTTTCCATTCTGCCACATCCACCTACCACATGCGGTGCCGTCCCACTCCCGCTCGGACGTTGTGATTGGCCAGATGTGACATGACGAAAAGACAAGTGACAACACATCCGTTTGACACAAAGTTGATCAACAGATCGGCTTCACTTGTCGCATTGACGAGTTGTTGAATGGTGCTAAGAATGGCAGGACACACTGACGATGCTGACTGCGATTCTTACGGAGCGTCTGAGAATGTACAACCCTCCACAGTCCAAGGCTGGTAGTGATCATAATTATAGGAAGAAAAATTGGGTTTCGAGGAGTCCCTTGTTTCACAACTGTTGAGCTTACTTCGAATGGAAGTGTTGGGTGAAAAGATTCGAGGGTCAACTGGTTAAGAGGAATCGGCCGTCGCCTTCTGGTGGAACCGGCCTTCGAATCTCTTCACGCTCCACTCCACTTCCACTCGAAATGGAAGTAAGCTCAACAGTGATCATAATTGTTGCTGTTGCGGAATTCGAACAAGTTGCGTCTGCACGAGTCGCCCCGGCAACGCATAGCAATTGTGAAAACGAGATGGGACCATTTCTATTTTGTTCATTTTGCTTGTTATTTTTTCAAGCTGTTTTGCCGATTGCCGTAAGTATGAGTTGCCAAGGCCTCAGCACTCGTGTTGCCATCGGAATGTGTGTGCACGAGTTCATATAAACCGCCTTAGTGCAGCACTCGCGATTACGGCTACGGCTACGGCTACGGCTACGGCTACGGCTACGGCTACGTGATACAATCAACCATTTGCTCAGACTGATTTGACACATCCGTTCGGAGTGGGGTAAGCCGACACGGTCAGACACACACGCAACACAGCATTGACGCTCATTGTACAGATCGCGTCTAATCCACTCGAGGTCACTAAGAGGTCACGGTTGCCGGGCACGCAGGCGTACATGTACCGAGGCGGCAGGGTCATGTCACGTGGTAGTCGGAGCGATTGAGCGTGAAGCTGCCTACGAGACACGGCCTGAAGTGACATCATTTCGTGTATACATTTCAACATCATTTCACGTCGGGAAGGCGACTAGAACCGATCATACTCAGAAGCTGAGACTGGCACACCTTTCATTTCGCTTGCGAATGCGGATGGATGGAATTCGCAAATTGGCCTCATCGAATGCCGAATGATGGTCGCCATGGCCATGCGACTGTTGCTGTGAGCGAAGAAGACTCCGACTCATCGTCCTGTCGCCGCGAACTGTAATGGTGAGAATTTGTTCGTCATGTGACGAATATCGCCGGAGCCAGAAAATAGTATTTACCAACAGTAACTAAAAAGACCTTAAACGAAATTGAGTGAATAAATCTCATACTACTGAATTACTGGTAGTCTCGAAAATCTACTTAAATGCGAAAAATAAGTAACGTAATCAATTGATATAGCAAATAT